AAATCTCTCCGGATCTCCCTGACACAAAATGCTAGTGTGAATGAGGCCATAGACAGATAATCACTGGAGGGAGAGGACACAGGCACAAGTTCAACAAGAAATGGAGATGATGAAGCCAGGCATGTAGAGGAATGGAAACAATCCTGCTTAATTATCTAATGGAGTGAGTACCTAGGTAATTGTTTTCCACAATATGTCTACTCTCACCTTCATAAAGAATTAGTGGCACATCAGTAAATGACTTGCTCCCCACAAGGTTTATTCAGCTACAGCAATCTCTCTCAGCTACAGCATATTTTGCTTAATGACAGAAAACATGGAGAGGGGAAAAGCTGGATGTACCCACTGCCCTTTGAGGGAAAAAATAAATAGATTTACAAACACATGCAACCATACTGTGAACAATAATTCTGGAATCTGAGCCATCCAGTAAAGTCCTGTTAATTCAAATAAGCAAAACAAATGAGAGTTTTGTTATTTTACTGGAAAATGAGCTGTCAACACAAATCCAAAGCCCTTTTTTAAAAATAGCATGGCCCCAATATTTGAGCCCATCTATAATATGTGGCAATGCCTCTTATAAGTCAAAGCAGAGATGCTAAAATTTATCAGATGAGTGAAGAACAATAAGATTCTAATCCTCTAAAAATTACATCATTTTTACAAATTTCCATTCATGTAAAGGTCAACCATGTGGTTAATGTTACAAGTTTGCATCCCATCTGTAACCCATTTCTTCAAAATTCTGTTTAACTCACATTTCATTGTTGATAAAAACCAAATGCAGCTTTAAACATTCCTTCACATAATTTGCTTCTTTCATTTGCTTTGAAAAAACAAACTTTGGAATTAGAATCCTTGCAGTAAATAAAGGCACCAAATGTGTATATCAAAGGCTGACTCAGGTTTTGATGGCATGTACATAAAATAATAGGAAATGATACTTTCTTCAGCAAGAGTATGTTTTTATCACAACTACAATGTGCAGCAATGAGATACAGAAATCAATCATCTGTTTATACTTCAGTGTACCACCATAAAACACCTCCTGCATAATAGCTCTTAGCACTACTATTTCTTTATTTGATTAAATTCATTTAAATTACTTAATCTTTATTCCGCCTTTCTCCCAGCACCTGACTAGAGGCAACTTACAACCAATTAAAATAAAATGCAACAAACAGTGGAAAAGTAGGAGTTAAAAACTAGTAATGGAAAAGTTTTTTAAAACTGAACAAAAAAAAGTATATTAAAAACACAAAGCTAAAATAGTTTGAAACACATCTAAAGCATAACAAAACAAAACAAAAGATAAACACAAAGCACACTCCATTAAAAGCCTCCTCTGTTGCATGAATTAAGAGTCAAGGGCTGTAGTGCATTGCAAGTGTTCAACATATATTCTTAGAATAAAACTGATAGTGACAGTCATGCATGTTTAAATACTGAATTATTATGTTCAAGAAGGTGTAATATGTGACATATACTGACTGAACATATCCATCTCCAAGTGCTTTTTTGCTCAGCAGATGCTAATTTGGGTGCCTTGTATCCAATGTCACATAACAAGACATTTACTCATGCAATGGGACCTCTCTTTCCTCTCCTCCCTGCAGCAGTCCCACAGTCCATGCCCAAAACTGCTCCAGAAGGTCCCCAAAACAAATATACAAACAGATTTGAGAGTTTGTGGGAGTAAATAGAAGTAAACCAGCTCCTCCAGTAGTATCCATTCCACTAGATATTTTCATTGCATTTGGCTTTGTATTCTCTCTTTGCTGAAGTGAAAAGCATGGGGCAAGTGAATTCTGCACTATGGGGGGTTGCAGACTGCCAGAAATAGTGCAAATTGAATCCACTTTTAGGGTTAGGGTTAGTGCTAGGGAATCGTGGGAATTTTTTTTTTCTGGGACATTGAGCCTTCTCTGTCAGAGAGCTCTGGTGCCACAATAAAATACAGTTCCCATGATTCCCTAACCCTAACCCTAAAAGTGGACTCAATTTGCACTATTTATGTACCCACATCACTTGCCCCTTTTGCTGTTGATCAGACTCCAGCTCCCTATTTCTGCATGACTGGAGGAATTCTGTATCAAATACAAACTGAGCTGTTGCTGAATAACCCTCATTCCCCATAAGATTGTCCAGTATTGTTATCTATGTAATGCAAAACAAGGAACTGGAAGAATAGTGACAGAAGAGCCCTTAATTCATTCAGCACAACCCACATTCTTAGCCACAACACTCTACACAATCTCACCAAATCCTTTGAACAAACTGGTACCATTATACTGATATGAAAAGTAAACAAGCCATCAGGATGTGTAATATTTAATATATAAAATGACATACTGCCCAACATTCAAATATATCATCCGAAAGCTTCCAAAGCTTTTCCTTTAGTGTGTGACACAGAGTGAACCAATTATAAACAAGGCTAGAATAGTTTAGCACAAAACAATCATTCAATTTGTACAATTACCAGAACATATTTGCATATCCATTTGAGGAAATTAATCTTTGTATATTATAGACTGAGACAGCCCTATTTAACAACATTTATTTCTTATACAAACCCAGTGGTCTGAAACCAATTTTAACCAAAGTAGCCTGCAACACTGAAAAACTACTATAATTAATGTTATAATTAAAGGGAACCTTTGAAGAACGAAGCTTGTTTTAGTTGTTTTTCGGTTTGTCACCTGGATTTTTAGGACAAATAATGAGAACTATATCCACTCAGAATTACTGGTGTACAACAATAAATTGCTAGTAAAATTCTTCATAAATGAGCTCACCAACTGTCTGTCCCTTTTAATTAAATTAATTAAATTAAAAGGGACTGACAGTTTTAAATTAAATTAATTAAATTCAATTAAGTTAGTTAGTTAGTTAATTAGTTAATTTTCCCTGCTAATTAAGCAGGAAAAGTAATGATAAGAGCTGCTCCATTCTGTGTGCAGAAAACTGCTGGCTTGGTAGTATGCAATGTTCAAAAACATGTCTGGTGTGAAATAACTTTTGCAATTCTTTGTCACTCAGGAGAACTTCACTGTCTTTCAAAGGCCGTATTGTTCTTCATGATAATAAAGAAGAGATACTATTGTGACAAGCTGCAATGCCAAGGGAAAATGATCCGTGTAGTCAGGAGTATAATTACACATCTTCAGACTTGCTTCTTTTTCAGTGCTTCAAGCTGCTCAAACAGGACAATCGCAACAACTTGGGTAAACGAAGCAAATTGTTCAGTTTGCTGTTTGCAACCTTGACTGAAGTTTTGTAAACTGTAAAGGAAATTGCCCTTTCTAAAAAGTTTGAATAATGCCATCAGAAAAAGGAAATATGTTTTATTCAAAACAATTGCTGCAGGAAAAGGCAATGGATCTCAAGTGCGAAATACTATATTAAGGAGGCATTAATGGAGAGAAAAGGATTTATAATACCACTTACATCACTGAGGGAGATGAAACCATTATTTGGGGTCTCTGTTTAGGCACCATAATGATTTTGGTTGTCTCTGAACGCACTACTGTTCAGTGGATCAAGACTTAAGTCTGATATATAGCCATGTGTGACAATTGCAGTGGGCACACTTACAATTATTATTTACATGTTCAAATTTGCTTCCAGTTCCAACCAGAATCCTCACTTCATCCATATATAAAGAGTAAACATAAATAGGGATATCCACATTTTTACCATTTTAGATCCCAACACAGAAAAAAAAAACACATGGAATTACAAATGATGACGTTCTGGAATATTACGCACAATGGGACATGTAATCCAGAAGGCATTTTTCACCACAAAAGTGATTTTCTTAATGACTGGGATAAGAAAAGGTGAGCCAGCAATTTGAAATGCATTTACTTAGAATTAAGTCTCACTTGAACGTTGTAGAAGTCACTTCCAAGCAGGCACATTATGAATGTGACAACAGAGTTTTGGTGGGTTGCGTGCAACAATCCTGAGCTTTTGTTTTTCTGTACTCAAACTAACAACATCTTGAGCTGCTGTTTGGTAATATCAGATGGGCAAGTTTCACAATGGCAGGTAGTATCTGTCAGAAACACAGTGCTGACCTATGGTGAACACAAAGGAATTCATTCCCCCCCCCCTTTGTTTGAACTACAGAAATAATGCAGTTTGACACCACTTTATCTGCCACTGCTCAGTGCTATGGAATCCTAGGATTTGTCGTTCTATGAGATGTTTAGCCTTCTCTTTCAGGGAGCTCTGTGCCACAAAAAAACCTACAAATCCCAGGATTCAAAAGGATGGAGCCATGGCAGTTAAAGAGGGATCTCTTTCGGCACGCCTTCCCGGAATAACTTTGGTCCGGTGTTAGATGAGTTTTTTAATTTGTTATACTGATTCCTGTGTCATTAGGATGTTTTTACTTATCCTTGTATTTTTAACTGTTTTTTGGTTTAATTCTGTTTTAAGGGGTTGGGAGGGTGGATTATGGGACGAGGGAATGTTTTAATTTGTTTGTTTTAAAATTGCTGTACCCCGCTCCGATTGCCGTGCAGAGGGGCGGGCTATAAATAAAAATTTATTATTATTATATATTATAAAGCGGTGTCAAACTGGTTTATTTCTGCATCGTGGAGAGCTTATCCCTGAGGATTAGTGGACCCTTTTCCCCTAAAGTACCTTACACTTTCATTTGAGGGACAAATAGCCTAAGATAAGGAGCAGGTGAAATGTTCATAAACGAGGGCAATTCAATGTACTTCTCCAATTCCTCCTCACAACAGTCATTTAGTTAGATGTGTGTGAACTTTGGCTTCTGAGCAGATCAAAACTGCTTCTTTAATCCTTACAGCCTGTTCCCATATTTAGATGGAGGAAAACGTTGGAGGCAGACCCCGTTGCTCTCCACAGTCGTACCTCTGACACACACACACACACACACCACCCTTTTTGTTTTCCTGTTTGTTGTTGTGTGCCTTCAAGTCATTTCCGATTTATGGCGACCCAAAGGCAAACCTTGAGGAGCCAGCATGGTTTAATGGTTTGAGCGTTGGACTAGGAATCTAGTCTGGAGACCAAGGTTCGAATCCTCACTCGGCCATGTAAACCCATCTTTAGATAAGTCATACTCTCTTCGCCTCAGAGGATGGCCATGGCAAACCCCCTCTGAAGAAACTTGCCAAGAAACCTCCCATGATAGGTCCACCATCAGAAACGACTTGATGACACACGACAACAAAAACAAGGCAAAGCTATCATGGAGTTTTCTTGGCAAGCTTCTTCAGACAGGGATTGCCTTTGTCACTGACATCCTCTGAGGCTGAGAGAGTGTGATTTGCCCAAGGTCACCCAGTAGGTTTCCATGGCTGAGTGGGGATTCAAACCCTGGTCTCCCAGGGTGCTTAGTTCAACGCTCAAACCATGCTGGCCTTTATTTTCCTATAAACTGAAGTAAATTATCCTGCAGCTGGCTGCATACACCAAACCAGGACCATATGCTGGCTGTCCATCTGGCCCCTTTCACAAATGACAGGCAGGGGACACCTAAGTTGTATCCTCATTGCAGAAATAATCCAGTTTGACACTGCTTTAGCTGCCGCGGCGCCATACTATGGAATTCTGGGAATATAGTTTATTGTGGCACCAGAGTTTCTTGAGGGCTGGCTGTAGGGGCAGGCAAGTGAAGTTGCCAGCCTAATAACTGCTGCATCCGCACTGCAGAAATAATCCAGTCTGACAGCCCTTTAAGTGCCATGGCACGATGATAAGGAATCCTGGGATTTGTAGCCTGGTGAGATATTTAACCTTTTCTGTCAGAGAGCTCTGGCGCCTCGATAAACTCCAATTCCTCAAATGCCATAGGAGCCATGGCAGTTAAAGCAGTGTCAAACTGGATTACTTCTGCAGTGCGGATGCAGCCCTAGAAAGGGTCTCTGTCCAAAG